AAATATTGCTTTTTCAAAAAGCAACTATCATTCCTAGAACATCTCATAAATGGTAAAGATATCACTCCAGACCTTCTAAAAATTGAAAAAGTTAGAAATTTTCCAATTTCTACCAACCTAACCGAGTTAAGAGGCTTTATTGGTTTGGCCTTATATTATAGAAAATTTGTGAAAATTTTTTAAGAATTATCTATCCATTAAACATACTATTAAAGAAGAACAAGCAGTATAATTGGGATGATCATTGTCAAAAGGCCTTTAAAATATTAAAGCAAAAGCTAATAATGGTCCTCATTTTACACTATCACGACTTTAACAAACCCTTTATTTTATATACTGATGCTTTGTATATGGGCTTAGGCAGTATTTTAGCCCAAAAAGATGACAGTAACAAAGAATACGTGGTGGTTTATACAAGTAGAGGATTAAACGACCCAGAAAAAAATTATTCAGCTACTGAAATAAAATACTTGGCCATCATATAGATCATACAGTATTTTTGTTCCTACATATACGGTAAAGAATTCAAATTAATAACTGACTATTAAGCCTTAAAATAGCTTTTAAACAACCCACAATCTATCGGTAAACTTGCGCAATAGATTATGATTGCCACCGAATATCACTGCATGATTCATTATAGAAAAGGTACTGCATATTCTAATATTGATATCTTATTAAGAATTTCTTACAAGCTTCTGTAAGAAAAAAAAACAAAATTATCAGTACTAAATCAACATAAAAAAAAAAAAAAAAAAAAAAACACTTACTAGTAAATTCATTAATCTAGTTCAAGTTATGGTGTTCTGGTATCTAATCGTTTAAAAAAAAAAAAAAAATTTTTTTTTAAAAAAAAAATTTTGAATGGACCTACAACAATACCATCAAATTAGAACATATCTCAAAAACATGGAAATTCCAAAAGACTTAAACCCAATCCAACAAAAAAATTTGTAAAACAAGCTATTCACTATTTTATCAACAATGATCTATTGTATCGAAAAAATAAAGATAAAAACAGACTGGCACTACGAGTTAGGGAGCTTCCAGAAATCAGCTAATTTTGGGGTGGGTGAGTAGGTCAGCCAGTGTATCAGGTGTAATTCTGGCCAGAATTATCAAGTTTTGGCCAAAATTAAAAAATATTTTTAAGACAAATTATAAACTTATTAAAATTTAATTATAAAATTTTAATTATTAATAACTTTTGATCTACTAGGCCAATTTGAAT